TCGCCGGCTACGGTTGACGTTAACGCGTGCCGGCTGGGAAGTTTCCCAAGTTTTTATTTGTGCCGGTCGACTTGGAGTTCGGGTAACTGCAGGGCTCCCTGCAATTTCTAGAAGACTTGCCATACCGGTTATGATTCCAGCACTAGTCGGGGTTATCTGTCTCTTGACCACGAGAGATCACCTACGCGAAACACTTCTACGCGTGGTTCTTGACCGTCTAAGGTCATTTGGAAATCGAAGGTAGCGTGTGAGTGTGTGACATAGTTCGGTGATGTCAGTCAGGGTCGTTTGAGGTTTTTCCTTGACTGAAAAAATCTCAGCGTTAGTAGACTTCGTTATTTCTAAGATGCGGTCCGCAGATGCATCCAGTTCGTCTACGGCGTTGTTGTGAAACGAGATGAGAACCGCTCGCACCTGTTCAGTAAGTTTAGACAAGAAGAGTTGTCTGAATAGGCCATCATCGAAAATTCGCTGACCGATAACTTCTCTCATCTCTAGCAACATGTCTGTCGCAGAACCATGCCGCAGGTCGATATTACTAAGGAGTTGATCCAACCTTTGCCGATCGGTTAGATCTCCGCGTTTAAGACTCGATCGTTTTCGAGTTTCGTAAGGTTCCGAAACATCACTAGCAAACAAACTAGGTGTAGCGTACCTGTTAAATTTGCGCGGCAGTGCCTTAACAACCGCAAGGAACTGTGTGCGTGGGTCCGTGATGTCGTGCCCGCAAAAGTCAGCTTATGAGTAGCAGAACCTGGATTCTATATTATCCGGCCAAAAGGACGTTAACTTATTCGAGGGTGGGGGAGCAGTCTTTAATTTAAATACTTTGGGTGTCTGTTCCGTCATTGTGAAAAATCAAGTAATATAATGAACGAGAAATAAATAATTATATATATATATATATACGAAAACTCGAAAAGAGGTATATCACAATATAAAAGTCAAATAAAACAACACTATGATTTACGAAGTTCCAAAAAGAAACAGACTCACAGTTTATTGTTTGGTGTACCAGATCACGTCGGTCTCACCACTGAAGATACCACCAGTATTGTAGTTTGACAAGTAATAATCAGTAACACCTTCCATAATCGAATCGTTCCGCACCCAGTTAAAATCAGAAGTCAGAAGCGAAGAGGTTGGAAAGATATAATTGATGCGTTATCAATATATCAAGAGGCGACTGTTCTAATCTGGCTAGTGAACGTATGAGTTGTTTCTCATGCTGTGTTGTAACGTGATCTGGTGCGGATGCATGACCGAACGCCTTCAGCTAAACAAGTCGACTAAAACTAATGTGGTCAGCATCCAATGTCGAGCATTTAAAGAGCTACTGATTTTGGTAAATTATTTACAGCTACACATCAACCTCCTGCCTGATGATGCGATAACTAATTGTTCCAGAAACCCTATAGACCTGAGACAAATACATCCACTCAACTAAAAGATATACAAGCCCACAAACGAGTAACAGGCTGTCTAGAATTGGTGCAGTCAAGTGGTTATACTACCACACACTGAACATAACCAGATACCTGGAACCATATCGAAAAACAAGAAGATAGAGCAAAGAAATCATTCGGTTTAGACAAGCTCTTAGGATGGTATATCTGATAAGCCAATCGAAAGTTACATTTAATCAGTGCTCGGGATCACTCAAAGCGACATAAGCTACTTAATTTTCGATCCGTATTATAACACAGCAAATACCGTTCAGGGCGGCATATTTGACTATGACGCTATATCACTGGAGTTGGATAACCTGAGGATTTTCGTTATTTCGTGATATCTGCGCTAAATGTCAGCCCATAGCAGTTTACTCTCAGGCCATGCCGGCGAGACTAAAGAACATGGACGACCTATGAACGAATCTTAAATGACCTTGAGAAATATTGGACAATCAGAAGACAGTTAGCATACAATAAAAATATATTATACAAAACTCAAAAATTAAAGGGGATACTGTTCTTTTACATGTATCAAAAACTTATCAAGGTCAGATATAGGTTCAGAATTTTCAAAATCATAGTCCATCCGGTACAGGAACCCATCCATGTGGCTCCATGGTAGTGGACATCTGGAACCATGATAAAGTCCCGAAAATTCTTTCAGCCTCAACCACATATTTTCAGTGTTGTCGGTATGTTGGTATGGTTTAGGGTTTAGGATTAGGGTTAAAGATGAGACTATAAATAATGGACGACATTTGAGCGACGCTAGAGTGAATCTGAGAGTGTTAACGTAATAACTAAGACTAAATGAGGGTCATAAACCCGTGTGAAGAATACAAATTATGATTTACAGTTCATGGTTAAGGTTGTGAATTTTATTTAGGGTTTTCATCACGAACTGACATCAGCTATAATGCCACAACTCAATCCAAATATATAATTGAATTTTGCGCCAAAATCTTATGGTAACATATCTTGTAGACTCTTAATTATCATGTTTTCTCTAAAATCCTTTGTAAACTGACCGTTCGTATGCGTCAGGTACCGAACTTAGCGCTGTGACCTTGAAAACCCGCGAAAGCTTCTGATTGGCTCGTCCATGTTCTTTAGTCTCGCCTGTTAAGCCCATATACTTTATTTTAGCTTCTGGCCAAGCCGATTCACCTATACATTGAGTCATATTTTGATCTTATTCATTATTCGCTTATTAACCTTGACTACCTTGTTATATGAGCGCATGTGTATGTACCCTTCGTATCTTATTCATCATATGTCTGTCATTCATTTTTGTCTGATTATAAATATTGATCAATGCTTGCTTAAAGCGAGTTGGCTTCCCAGCCATCTCCAATGCTCATTATTTTCGCTTCGCTCTCGAGTTGGCTTTCCTGCCATCTCCAATACGCATCGTTTTCGCTTCGTTTGATCCCGAAATTACGAACGCGAAGCAAAGTTGGTAACTTCAACGTACGAACATAACTGGCGATCCCGACATACGAACGCGCATCGAAATCGATAACTTCAACGCCAATACAATACGAAGTCTTCCAGCCATCCGAAGCAGCAGTGCAAATGTCTTTAAGATACAGTTCTTCCTCTCCAAATCCAATGTGTTGGTACGGAAATGGTCTTAGTCATCTGAGTTAATGATAGTAAGTGAAGCGCCTGAACATGTTGACGGCTTCAAATACCCGGAGAGTCTCATTAGTCCTGATGGCCTTGTGTTCGACAAAATTTCGGTACAAATTCAAAAATCTCGGTTGACTTTTGCCAAATGACGTCACGTATGGGGTGGGCGAGTTGCTCGTCATTCAGCCAAAAGGAGAGTTCACTGCTCAGTAGTTTGCTTCGCTCTACGTTATTGGCATGAAGCATGACCACTCAGAAAAGATTATATCCATATGCTATCAGTGTTTCATCATGAAGGTCTTTAAAGCACCGCTCGTGTAATTTGAGATCACTGAGTAAGCGAATTCGAGGTTAGGATTAGGGCGCCAGGTAAAGATAACAAATTAATCGATAAGATAATAAATCTCCATCAGTTGAGGTGATTGAGACATGCATACGTATGCCTGCCCACCTTCTGTCTCAACGATAGTTGTTTTCTGGTGTAGAAGTAGGCTTGGAGAAAGCTAGAGGCAGCCGAACTCCAAACTTCTGAAAACTTCATAATATTTTGTTTTATTCCGCTAATTTAGGCTTCCCTGAATCGTAGTCAGCAGCAATGTGACCGTGACACATTCTCTCTCTACTTTCTTATTTCCGTGCTGTGCACTGTCAAAAGTCTAACATTAATCCTGGATAAATCTGAAAAATCTTTGTGTAAAAGTTAAGTGAAATATGGTTTGTATTTCACGGTACATGACATCGTGAAGTCCTTGTAAAATCACTATGCAGGTTTTGTTAGAACAGTTTTTCCACTATAGCATCTCCAGGAAGTATCTATTTCCCTGGAGCGATACACTAGACGTTGACAAGGAGTAAATTTTATATGATATAACGTGAATAAAGTATAGATCATCGTAAAAACAATACCATTCTCAAGACTAAAAAAACTAAACAAAAAACGATGTTGTAAAAATTTTTTAGGTTTTGACTTCTTTTCAGCAAATTCAGATGGTTTTCCACTGTATTGACCTAATTTAATGCGAAAAATATATTAGTATGGAAGGTATTAGCTTTGTTTTGGGTTATAATTTCTATATATCTGCAACTTGCGATAATGTCCTAGTATGACCGAGACTAAGGAGAGTCCACATTCTTTCTCAAAATGCTCTCACATGGCCACGCGAATATATAGCCTCTGCCAGGGCAGTCCTACTCACTGCCATCCCGTGTCGGGGGTGTTCTTTGCGAAATTGGGAGGACGAAAAGCGCATGTATAGCGCTTTAACCGGGTCGGTGGACATGCAGTTTTTTTCTATTGACACTAATGCTATTACTACCTCTACTATTCTGGGATTCGATCTGATAGTTTTATCCCTCTGTGCTGACGGGGTATGGCAAAATAAACCAATGTACTTACGAACTAGTCTATACGTTACGACTGACTGAGTAAATATTCACATATCTAGTATCGTTAAGTTGCTCCACATATCATAGATACCAAGCCCTTTGGTATCCAACCTTTTTTAAACGGGTGTGTCTAAGCACAAAAGTGTGTAGTTAACCCTTCATTGAATTGACAATATGATTTTGCGCCCAATCTACCTATTTTGGGGTTTGCCACGAAGTCGTGAAAAGTTTGGTAGCTTTCCCCAAAGTTCGGGGGAAAAACTTATAGTTTTGCAAGTTTCTGGGGAAGTATTGGGAAAAACCCAAACATTCTGGGGATTGTGTGCCATTTCCCGAAAGTTTCCTACTGCGGCTTCCCTAAAATTTACTAAAAACATTCGAAATTTCCCCTATGTATAATTTCGGCATTACCGATTTCAGTGTACTAAATAAAATATTTGGTACATCGTGTGCTTTGCCATAAAAACGTAAATTCATATGTTCTATTTAGTAATTATACACATCTTTTTCAGGTATACTTTTTAAATTTGTATGAATCCTGTTCGCATCTGTTCATGGAATATAAATGGATTGCGCTCCATTCAACATCCGTTGAAAAGTATTTTAGATTCTCTTACATCTGATATAATTTGTATTCAGGAGACTAAAACCACACGTATGTTTGTGTTATTGGTTGATGCTTTCAAATTCAAGCTGATATAAGTAGAGAATTTGCATTTGCGGATAATTACAATGGTTATTTTAGTCACAGTATACACAAGACAGGATATTCAGGTATGTCTGACGTTTGACAGTTAATACGATAGGTACTGCGGTTTTCTGTCGCAATCCTCTTAAACCAACTAAAACATTCCATAACTTAAATGATATACTTGTCGAATCTATTTCTTGTCAAAATAATTCAACTGATGGATGGAGTTTCCTTAAAAGAAAACTAAATATCTCTCATACTGAAGCTCGTAACTTGGATGCGGAAGGAAGAGTATTGGGTCTTCAGTTTTCTACTGATATATTTACCACCTTTCGAACTCCAAACGAAATCCGGCCGCTGATTGTGTTATCCATATATTTCCCCAGGTTAAATCCAGAAAACGTTGAACGTTTGAATTACAAACATCTTTTCCAGTCTGCTGTACAACTTTGCATTGAATCACTTCTAATAGAAAAGTAGGCTGTTCGTTTATTTGGTCTGTAATATTTCAGCAACGTAGTTATTGCTGGGGACTTTAATATTTGTCACAAAATGATTGATCATTGTGCTCCAGACGAACTTATAGTAAGTCAACTAAGTGTAATTACGAACATTTCAAGATTTAATTTATGTACTAAGTACTTTTATTTAGTCTTAAGCCATACTGGGCCTCCAAATGCCCTGGTACAGCCGACGGTAGGGAGAGTCAGCCCTACCACTCAAAATGCTCTCACATGGCCACGCGAATATATAGCCTCTGCCAGGGAAGTCCTACTCACTGCCTTCTCGCAAACAGGGTGCTGTTTACGAAATTGAGAGGACGAAAAGCGAATGTACGGAGCTTTAACCGGGTTGGTGGACACGGAAAGTCCACCTACGGGAGTTGGAAAACCCTGATTCCAAACCAATGGTGCACATGGTTTCCAATATCCTGAGGGAGCAAATGGTGTATGAACCTATTGTTGGTCACCGACTACCATGTGACTGCATCTCCTCACGATGCTCCACTGCCTTGTGGATCAGACATTCAGGTCAAAGGCTCCGGATGTGGCTCCCTAAAAAACCACCTGCTTCACTTTGGGCACCCGGGTAGTATCCCGTTCCTCACATAAATCAAATGAGATTTGTTTGGCGCATATGTATCTAGTGCTTCCTCGTACCAATGTTTATGTATTTTAACAAACAAATTTACTCTTTGTGTTAATGCTAGTAATACTACTCAAGATCTTAGACCGAACTAGGTGTCATGGGTTTCGAACCTGTAATTTAAGGTTGAAAAATTGAGTGGTTACATTGGTCACTCGAACTTTATCAAAACGATAATAATTAAGCTCAGTGTATATTGAACAAATATGATTAAAAGTAATGAAAGACAACGTGAACGAAATCCAACAGTTTTGTGATGAGTAGAGAATAAGGGAGATACTTTAACATAACTTAAGAAGTCCTTCCGAACATATATCAGATCGCTTTTTTTGATAGAAAAATCAGAACACCCGAAATCTTATGCTCCTTAATTTGTCAAATGCTTCAGTTTTCATACACTATCTTAGCTAAGTAATAAGATCCTACCGTAATGAAAAAATTATGAATTCTTCAAACAGACTTTTAACCATATGCACGGAGATTCCGGCTAAAACCCGTCCTTAGTTCTAGAATTTACAGCATCCTCAACCTATGTATAAAGTGATAAATACATTTATTGGCAGGGAAATCAGACTGATTGAATTTGATCTGTGCGATATAGTTGTGTGTGAAACTGATGAAACAAGCTAAACGTACCTTATAACCCTTAAATGGTACGACTAAAGCTTAAGTATGTCTGCATAATTAGCAATTGTGCACTAACATACCATTAGGCTTCCTTAACTGACAACTTTCAACATACCTAAAACTGTCATGAAATAAGGTCATCCCATCATAACAAACAGCGAGTTTATATATACGTTAGTTACTAAGTAGTAGATCTATTGAATGAGGAGCCCCAAATTTCAATCATTATTTTAAGATTAGAATAATAGCTAAGCGTATTTAAACATTCGATCTGCCTTGTTAGTTACGGCCTTGTTCAAAATAATTTAGATACAATTGGTACATAAGTTAGAATTATTTGAAAAAGTTATTTAAACTTTTTTTCACCTACTGTTCAGATGGATAAGTCTTCAACATCTTATCGCCAGTGGTTTGATCAGTTGTTGATTGAAGAGCAACAAGACATAAGTCTTAATAATCAAAGCAGTGTTGGTTTAAGAAGATTCGTGGATATCTTCAGGTAATTACCGAGTATTTCAACAATAAATTTCGAAGTAATATTACGGTGCTAGAATGTTTAAAGTGTATACATGTGTAAAAAATGACCAATTAATTCCAATCTACATTTATACTCATAGGAAATTAGAAGTATACAGTAGGAATACACACTAATATAGAAACTTAAACGAAAATGCATAGTTTAAAGCTGGCATGACTCAAAACAACAAAGGGAAAGTAGACAGGGATATATACGCCTAACGTGAATGGTATCGGCTGGGAACGGAAAATCACTGATAAGTAGTAGGGTTTAGGATTCAGAAAGTTAGTAGTTTTTCTGGAAATATTTTCAAGCTCACACCTAAAAAACGAATTTCTCAAACTATTGTGAATAAGCACCTATTAATAGGCCTCACTTTTGTTCATAGATGCATTAAATCATTCTTCCATAAATTGGATTAAAAAAATGGTGATAACCTCTCGTTCTAGTCATGTGTCTTCTAACTGATTATAACTACGATAAAATATCAACTAATTTTATATTGATTGTAAAGTGGATAATTAGAATGGCTACTTCGTTGTCAGTTATGCTATCTATGATATACCGAAATATAAATCTGTGAACAAGTGGTGAGTCCAGAGCTACTTCCGAAAGATTTTTCTTCTAAGGCAACCTACCAAAAACGGACGAGTTATTAATTCTATAGGCACTTTAAAAGCAAGTTAATTCAGTAAACTGGAGCGTTTTGTGAAGATCACCATTGCATATGATGAGTAAGGTTGTCTCAGGTAAATACAACATAGATCTGAAATCGCCCTAATTAGTGTCTATTTAGTTCCCCAGACCTTTGGACTCAACAGTACTACTCAAATAAACCACTAGTTGCTGTGCCGTCTAAATAAATAATTCCAAGCAGTTTTAGCAGCGTTCTAGTGACAAAATTTCTAGTTTTTCGAGAATTTAAGAATGACTACCAAAATATCGAGTAAAAATACCAATCGTTCGCACTTGTTAGTAATATTGCAGTTTAACTAATACAGTTGAAGAGCGTTTTAATCCATGGTAGTCACTTTGGAGTTAACGTATTTTTTTAATTTCCTCACCTTATGTAATTATGACTTAGGCTACTGCATCCTCATCGAAAAAATGCTTTTACGTGTTGGTCATCGCGCACGAATGCTCGTCAAACAAATTATGGAGTCAGACTGGATTATATTTTATTCGACATCAAACTTGTGGAAAGTATCACAACTATATCAGATAACAATATACAAGCAGACTTGATGCCACATATAAATGGATCTGATCATTGCCCAATATATGCAGATCTACCGTATTTTTACAACTCAGATTTGATTTTTTCCTATTCATTTCCACCTAAATGCTCTCATTACTGGCCTCAATGTCAGAAAAAGCAAATGGACTTAGAGAGTTTCGTAATGTCAAAGAGTCATTCCAAAGTAACTAAACAAGCCTTTACTTCTCATGACACAACAACTTCCGTATCCTGTGTAAGAAATTCGCATTCGAAAGAGAAACGTCCCGCCTTCAGGCAAACGAAAATTACCTTTAGGGGTAAGTTAGTCTAAACGCTGTTCACTAAGTTCTCAGGCCAGAATCAAATAATGCCCTTGATTCATGTGATTCTTCTATGACTATCACGAGGGATTTTATTTTTAGGGGGATCTAAGTAGTTATTATTTTCTATCAAAGATAACTTCCTAAATAATAGTAATTTCTTCATTTTCATACTGAGTTGCACAGATAAAGAGTAACTGTAGATATCTTTAACTACAGTTGATGACCAAATCCAACATTATTTAAAACAATTCTCATAATTTAATGAAAAAAGCTGTTGTATTATCAGTCAATTCATGTACTAACTCTTCGTGTTTTTTATCAGAGACCATACCAATAGAGACGGCTACATGTATACATGATCAGTCCCGAAGTATTGAAAATACGGCTGAAACTCTCCAAAGAAAAATTTACGACCCATCTAAAACAGCTCAGTCAACTGAAGCATGGCGAAGTCTTTTTTCAGGGCCGAAGAAACCTCCTGTATGTCTTGGCCACAAAGAACCTTGCGTCATGAGGACTGTGAAAAAGTTGAAAACAACCAAAGGTAGTCGACTCGGCAGGCGGTTTTGGGTTTGTGCACGCCCACATGGCGCTTCAGATAATCCAGCTGCCCGGTGTAGCACATTTTTTTGGGATGACCAAATACCAAAAAATAAGTTACTCTAGTGGCAGTTTTGTATTAGTAATTAAAATCAATTTATAATTATGTAAAAAGAGATTAAAGATAATATCACATTTCAGTTATTTGCTGAATAGTACATTTTTATATTTTTGAACTGTTTGAACGGGACCTACTGTGCGTTGAGTTATCAGATACATTATTGAGAGTTGGTTTAACACATTCACGTTGCGTGGCAGCTGTAAGTTCCCTGAATCGTTTCATTATCAATATTAAGGCTCTCTCACGACGTGCTATGGGCTCTTGTAAACGCATAAGTGGATGCCATCTTATGTAGTAAGCTGTCCAAAATTGAAGCTGAGCTAATGCATGCTGAGGAAAAATCACACGATGACCGCTGATCTCAGCAGGAGTATACAGTGGGTTTTGATACAACTGGATGTCTGCATTGATATATGCCCACAGTGAGATAGTCCTTTCACGTACACCATGGTCGCGTCCTTGCATTTCTGAATTAAAGAGGAATGTTCCGAATCGCGCAGCATATAATTCATCCATTATTGTTATGAGAAATCGTTCGTTGAATTCAAATGAATGAGGAAATTGCTGCATCGTCTGCCACACGCAATCAATGAACTGTAAAAATACTGGGGAACGCTCCTCAGGGCTTGATGGCCGCCCTCCACCAGTTTCATTAACAACAGAACTTGATGAGTTGGGAGGCAAATAAATTCCACCATCGGTAGGTCCACCTGTGCGCTGTGCAAATTTGTGACCAAACGAACACCATTCTTTTTCGACTAATACTTCAAATCCGCGTATTGTACGGTAGTACGGATCTAGCATTAACATTGCTAAAGATGTAACTTGAGTTGTCCGGTCCCAACCGTCTGAGCAATGTATTAACACAGATGTCTTATGATTTTCAATCTAGAATTAGATTTTAACGGAAAATAAAAAGTGATGGTTGAGTTTAAAGATTTTCAGTGTCAATAATTTATACTACTAAACAACATAGTATCAAGTCCATAATGCAAATATACTTACTTTATCGGCTACACTGGTTGCAGCGAAAATAATTTGTTTAATATGATAAAGCCATTTAGAGTCAGCCAGTTGCTTAAACCATCGTGTATCGTCTGGTAATGGAAAACAGGCCTCGAAAACTTTTGTCAATGCAGCCCGCATCGCGTGTATATTTTGTATATTTAAGAACATATACTGAACATTTTCATAATAAGCTGGACTTTCAACACCTCCGCCAACGCCCATATTAGCTATTGCATTGACCTAGAATATTGAAAGTTAAAAATCATAGATTCCCTGGGATTTGTTTGAGAGATTGAACATATTAGTATTTTTAATGCAACTGAAATATTGTAGTCTTTCAAGGTAGATTATGTTTTAACAAGGCGAGGAAAATTTTTAATGTATTTGTAGCTAATAATTACTCAAAATAAAACAATCCTTGAGATAAAGAAGAAAAAATCAGAGAAATAAACTGTCTCTTCCGGATTCGACTAATCATTCCAATGCACTAGCTGGCTAGGAAGAAATTAGTGTGACTCTGAATGATTTCACATCGAGATGTATTTTTGTTATATCCGAACGAAAAATAAATGAATCGTAACTGCTAGGAATTATTGGATAATTATTAGATAACTAGATTATATATATATATATATATATATATATATATATATATATATATATATATATATATATATTTGTATCCCTTTTATTGGACCTATCGGCTACTGTAATACGATTTACCATTCCTAACTTATTCCCGACAGTTGCTGCCACCTCGACGTAGTGGTCAGGCTTCCCTATCATGATGAACCAATCGAGCTATACTGGCTGGAACAATCACCTTTCAAGATCCTACCATGCCAAGCAGGTCGGTTGAAGAGCGTTGTGATTAAAAGCAGAAAGCGAAGTCGTACTGCCGACTGTACAGGAGTGTGACGACAGTAAGGTGTTTCCTTCTGACAACCAGCATGACAGAGATGCTGTCTTCTCATAAGGAGGAGTGAAGTTGGAAAAGGTCGACCCTAGAAATGCACACCTCGCCTTACCCCACGGATGCCCATCTCCGGCAGTGAGGTCTCAACAAGTGCAAAGCTAACACTAAAACTACCTACGAGGTGTGTGATTAACCTTAAGTAGTTATCCCATGGGCATTATGGTCACGCTCTCAGATCACTAAGACCACTTCTTATCCAATTTATTTTTCAGGTACCTCCAGAAGAACCCTTCCACGGTGTGAGTAACCGGGAAGTGGTAACTGTCCTCATAACTCTGACAACATTCAAGGTCACTGTATTCATAATCAATCTTCCTCTTCAATTCCGATTATCCCTTCTACATCGACTTTCAACACTAAACTTCCTCTTTTGGCTTCCTTCTTAAGTATCACCATGGCCAACGATTCTAGTGCGCGAAACACTATCCCAGGTTTAATAAAACCTCGCTCCAAACTACACATTGAAGCCTTCAATGTACGTACGCTAAGTCAAATCGGTCAACCCTAGAATCTCGTACCATTGATTTATGCTGTCTCCAAAACACATACGGGATCCTAGTGTGGTCACTCAATTGACCTCACCTAACCCAAACTAGGAACCGACGAGATACACTTTCCTTTTTCTTGGCGACTCGATGGCAAATCCTCATGGACTGGCAGATGTAGGCATAGCACAAAGTGTGAGGGCAGAACAAGCACTTTTAGAATGGATCCCCGTTAATAGTCGCCTATATGTTATTCGGCTAGACGGCTCCGTAAGAACTCAGAAGGATAGGAACACACGGTCGTTGTCTTTTCATCGTTTCTCCCTAGCTTAAACCAAACAGAAAGATATTTAGGTGGGTATTTTAGTATTCCAGCTCAGCGAACAGATAATGGTGATCGTCTGTTGCAACTGTGCTCAGACAATCGTTTATTTTTAGCAAGCACTAATTTTAAGCACAAGGAGACAGATCATCTAACATGGCGACCCCCTGCACTAAACCAACGATGGACTCAAATAGACCATATTGCCATCAGTCATCGCTTGAGAGGCTTGATAGAAGACTGTCGCTCGCTCTGGAGTACATGTTTAGACTCTGATCATACTTTAATACGAGCACGCATTTACTTGCGCCTCAACGGACTCAGAAAAACCAGACTAAGACCCATTAGAATTGAACTGGGGGACGATAAAACCAAAAGTAAGTCCCAGGAACAACTGAGTTCACATTTAGGCAGTTCTGTAAATGAGGCTGACTCAGATCTCACTTGGAAAGATGTTATAATTGTATTGTGCTAATAAACGACCCAGCTATTCCTATTGCTTAGTATTCTTATACAATGACACTCGACAAGACCCCAAAATCAGAACACCTTGAACAGGAATGAAATTGTATTCAAAATAATAATGGTATGTGAACAGCAATCACTGATTTGAATAACGTTCATATATTTATAGTATATACATAAGAAGCTTCTAGATTTTTTCTCCAATAATATGCCCGGGCTGATCGGTTTAGAATTAGCCAATCAGCGCGCAGCAACACCATCATGCATAAAACATGCTTTAATCAATCTATGTCCCACTAACAAAAGATATACGAACAGCTGTGGAAACAGCAGTGACACCTATTAGTAATTTAAACCTAAGTGTTACAAAAAACCAATGGATTTCTTCCGAGTCAATTGCACTGATGGGTTCTCGTAAACCTATTCCATCAGGCTTTGAACATGATAAAGATCGAAAGCAAATCAGATTTAGGTTAACCAAAAGTCTAAGAAACGACCGTGAGCAGTGGTGGGCAACGAAAGCAAAAGAGATGGAAAAGGCGACGGCTGTAGTTAACACCAGACAACTCTCCAGACTAATAAAAGAAACCAGGATTGAGAAGTCACGTGTAAGCAAGACAATCTCGGAGAAAAAATGAAACTCAGCCCACACGTCTAGAACGATGAGCTGAACACTTTAGCTGGCCTTCAGCTACTCTACAACTACCTACCATCCCCAGACAGCCTGAATGGAACATTGAAGTAGGTCTCCCGACTCTAACTGAAGTTTAAAAAACTACAGCTAATCCGAAACGAGGAAGGGCAGCTGGTTCAGATGGATGAACTTCGGTTGTCTCTAAATATGGTGGTCCGGTTTTAGCGACTAGGTTGACTAATATCTTAACTAAAATCTGGGAACTGAATGTAATCCCATCAGACTGGTCGCAATCACTGATTGTCCCAATATATAAGAAGGGGTCAAAATCATCCTGTGATAGCCATAGAGGGATTAGTTTGACTAGTATAGCATCTAAAACACTAGATTGTGTGGCAGTGTCATGGAAAAGTGTACCTCAGAGGTACATAGACCTTGTGAAGGCTATGTACTTGAACACTACCAGTCGAGTAAAAGCTCATGGCGAACTCTCATCTGATTTTACAAACTCAAGTGGTGTCCGACAAGCCTTTCCACTATCCCCATTTTCATTTAACTTCATCATAGACCTACTGCTGGAAATACTGTTCTCGTCGACTGACTTTTCGAGCATTGATCTCCCACCAACAGGCCTACTTATCGACTTGTAATATTCAGATGACATAGTCCTGTTTGGTGAAGACGCTGATAAAATGCAGTCTTTAGGTAGCACTGAGCTACAATGCCAGGTTGTTTGGGATGCGTTCCTCCCGCTCCAAATGTAAATTTTTGCTTCAGGACCGGCCTGCGTCAACACCTGAACTAGGGATAGGGAGTGAAGTAGTCGGACGCGTCGACAACTTCACTTATCATAGAAGTCTGATCATCCCTAGTGAGTTGGTGTCTGACGAAATCTCTGCATGGATTCAAAAGGCCCGTTTGGCTTTAGCCGAATTATGTCACCTATGACGAAGGCGAGATATCCGTCTATCAATTAAGGGATGAGTATTTATTATTACTTATTTGAACACAATATTGGTACAAAGGAGCACCGAATACATATGCGCCGCACAAATCTCATTCGATTAGTGTGAGGGCTGTGATACTGCTCAGGTGCCCAAACTGAAGCAGGTGGT